CTACTTATTACTGTGTCCACAAAAGCCATTTTTCAAATAACTTTTGACTGACAATGGCTAGAGAGTTGGGGTTTTCGTCATTCGATAGCCAAGACATCGCCACATCCTTACATAACAGACAAGCTTTCCAAAATTTGTTGAAAACCCAATTTTTCAGGAATCTCTGGAAAAACGAGCCATAACACTGGAAATTCAGGCAAAAATAAATAGATTATTTTTTATGAGTAGTTAGCCCAAGGTGTTTCCTACAGAACGGATGCCGGGCGAGACCTTGATTTTCAGTGGTTCAGGTGTGGTATTGGATTTCTTTTGAGCCCCAGGACTGGTACTTGCCGGCATTGCATGAAACATACGTAGTCAGCCCCAATGAATCTGATGGCAAAGCTCGTTGTTGGAAAATAATTCTAAAACATGGATTTATGCTGTGATTTTCAGCGCTATGGCTCGGTTTCCAGAGATCCCCTGGAAAACTGGATGTTCAAGAAATTTTGAAAAGCTCGTCTGTTACAAAAAAAATTTGAATCTCCCGCTCCCGAAGAACCTTTGACAAAAGCTTTCAAAAAGCCGAGAAAACTTTCAAAAACAAAATTTGTCAACCAGTCTAAACGACCAAGTTTTTTACATTGAAGCGGAAGATGAAGATGAGTATGAGTTGAAATTGTGAATAATTTGGGTGGATATAAATTAGAATTGACATTTTTCGACAAGTTTTTTATGTAAATTTTCAATAAAGAAGAAACTGAATCGCTTAGCTTTTTGTCATTTTCCCAATAGTCATGTAAAAGACGAAGAATAACAGTGTATAGTGCTAAATTTCCGCTCATTTCTTCAGGTAAAAATTCAACAAGCACAGGCAATCCAATGTACAGAATAAATGATCGAACTTCGGAGGCTTTCCATTTCTGCACATTGAAGAATGATCGTGGTCGCCGAAGAATATCATGCATGAAGTTCATCGAGCGGAGTTTTAGGTTTATTTTTAAAAGATTTTCTTTTGAAATAAATGTTTGTAATTGAATGAGAATTTTTTTTGAGTGACACAAGAAAACTGTATACATTGCATCAATAACAATGGAGTGTGGTAAGGGAAGGTCGAGAATTTCAGAAAAAGCACTCAGACCTTTAATTCCTATGGTTCTCTCTCGATCAATTCGTCGTTGCATTGAAGCAGCCATCTGAGCACATTTTTCGAAGTTCTCGCTCGTTCTTAGCTCAGCATCGTTATCTATAGAATATATGATGCAATGCCCTTTATGATTATAGGTCCCTTTTATATTGCAAAACATGCATGCATAGTAAGGATGAGGCTCTACAAACTGGATCATAGCAGATAAAGGAGGCATGTCACCCATAAGCATAGGAAAGAGAATTTTGATTTTTTCTTTATTATTTATTTCAATGCCTTCGTTTTTAAGATGAAATAGTTGTTTAGAAAGTTTTTCAAAAATAATATTGAAGTTTGGCTTTTTTTTCCCTATCCAGATACCAAGAAGAAGAATATTATCAGCACGAGTTCGAGAAAAAGGAGGAAGTTCTAGGACAGCACCTAATATAGGCCACGCACCACAGTTTTTAGATTTATAGAGAGGAATGCCATCACTATGAATCGTTACAGATACAAAAAAATCTCTATGAACACTTAACATTGATTGGTAAACACCACCTTGAACAATACCATTCGCATCGGATGTAGTTTGTGTTCGAGCTTGTTTTTGATATTGACGAAGAAGATCTATATTTTTATCAATCAGCAGCTTTAACTGTTCAGTCAAATCAAATAAAACAACTTCAACCACATCATAAGCTGGAATTTTCATGTCTTCATGAGTACAATTAACTGGTGAACAGATTCCATGCGTCGATGATGAATAACAGCCTCTTATATCCTGATGAAACAAGCCTCTTAATATTACGAATATAAACTGATTCGCCCTAATGCCGAAGTTTCGACCTATACCGTATTTTCTATGGCATTCTGGCACAACATCTGAGTTTGTGGAGATTTGAAGGGGGTACCAAATGATATAGTTGAAAAACTTTTGAAAGGAATTTTAAGGTCACTAGGTTTTCCGGAAAACCTAGCTTTGCAGAAATCTCTGTCTCAAAACCCCGAGGCCTGGTATAACGTTTTTTCATCGAAATATATAGAACTCAACGCGCTCTTCTATTTGATACCAACCTCAAGGTTCCATATTAGGGAATGAATAACATGTGGTCAGCAGAGGTTCTACAAGTTAGGCCAAATCCGCCAGAAAATGCATTTCTCTGCTGCGAGGCTAGAATGGCTATAACGTTTTTCTAACAAGGCTAGAGACTTGCCGTTTTCACCATTCGGTTCAGCTTGCTGAGCTCTATAATATGAGACAGGGCTCGCCACTGACGTCAAAGGTCGATGTAAATGGCGGTAGGTTTTATATGAATCGACGCTATCCGCCGACGCCGAAAACATCACTCTGCGGGAGTAATATCCGAAAAAATGAGCGTTCGCACTTTTAACTAGAAATGAATTACACACCGTTTTGTAGGGTTTTGAAAGAGCTCTCTCTCTCTTGATATATAATGTAGAACGCAATCTAAGTTCTTTCATGCTAAAAACACAGAAACATTATCCGTCCATATGCTTGAAAACATCACTCTTCAGTAGTAATATAAAAAAACGTGAGTGTTCGCACTTCCAACTAGAAATGAGTTACCCGCCGTTTTGCAGAATTTTGAAGGAGCTTTCTTTTGATATATAATGTAGACCGCAACCTGGGTACTTTCATGGTTGAAAAGTTGAAATACTATCGTGGACTATGCTGAAAAGGTCATTTTTAACAATAATATTCCAAAAACGTGGGTATTTGCAGTGTACATAACAACTGAGCAACAGACAGTTGTGTTCGCGGTTTAAAGCTGCATGGAATGGTATATAAGATTTTCCTTTAACCTGGATGTATTCTGAGAAAAGTACGAAAAACACATTGGAACAGGTTCGCGGAGCTATTGGTCAAAGCTGATCGATTTTCTCACAGATATGAGGTCCGAAGGGAGTCCAAGGATCTATAACCCCATAAAATTATATGCTCTTTCATTCTAGGTGCCCGGTATCTAAAATTCTCAGAATAGGTCAATGTAGATCGAGTCGAAAAAATCGGATCTAAACTTTAATTCCATGGGAGCTTTTCCAGGGATCCTCTAGAAACTTATATGCATAAACCGAAAACCCTATGTCATTTTTTCGACTCGATCTACATTCTATGACCTATTTTGAGAATTTCCTGAAGATGTGAGGTTTTTTGGACAAGAAGTGACTGAAATATACGATTTACATCAGGCAGTCTGGTTTCATAGCCCGAACGGGATATACATCCCATTCGGTATATAAAAATATATCCTGATCGGGCTATGATAGCCTGATCAGGATATATATCCCGAATGGGATATGGTATAATGAAGGGACATCAAGTCACGGTGCTTTTTACTTTGGGAGTTCATCTTTGAAGAAAGCTAGGTTTATCCATAGCAAGATTACCGAGGATTTTCACTTGTAAAAGTCCTACGTTGAAATAATCATAGCCAAGAAGATAAGCAACGATATCGACTACACATAATGCGAAGTACATTCTTTATTTCTCATCTTTTTTCTGTACTTATGTCTATGTTATTATCGTTCTTTGTGTTCTCTGAACTAAAAGAGATAGAGTGATACAGACTGACGTCTGATTCTGTTTTTAAAAAATGAAAAACAAGACGCTGACTGTCGAAGCCTAGTGTAAGTACAGAAAAAGAGACATTAAGCGTATATAACTTATACATTTCACGCACACCGATATTCAATACTTTAAACTTTCATACTTTCTACAGTTTATTTAAAAAGAAAATGGCGCTGAATCGTCAACATCATACCGGAAAAGTGAAACCGATGTTCGGTAAGCAGGATTCGACAAAATATGCTCAAAGTAAATATCGTCGGCGAGAAACATTGATTAAAAAGGTAAAATAACTGTGCGCAGTGCTGTAAGCAAGCATCAGTTCATTTGTAATTTGTGTATCATTTATAATTTTTAAGTGACATTTATATTTTTTGTTTTAAAACAAATTCGTATATAATGTCACTTAAAATATGCGTTTCTTACTGCGCTAGTTGCGATACTTTACCTAAGGTAAACGACCATATTGTAGGTGAATAATCTCTTTAGATACAAGAATTTTCTGAAATTACTGGCATTGAAGCTTCAGTGATTTTTCGAGATTCGGAGAAATTATATGTCGATTGTCCTGATAATGACATGAATGTTAGTGTTGAAAATTTTTTGAAACGTCCACAAAAGAAATCATCCTCTGCTCAATATGAAATAAGCGATTTGCGTTTAACACATTAGCGTCTAGAATGGCAAACAGATGTGATTTACTGTTCTAGTTGTCTAAATACTTTAATCTGCGACAACTCGTATTAGCCAGGTTAAAATTTTGAGTTACGTATTCTTCTAAGTAAAATCGTTGATTTGTTAGCCCTTGTTGGGTGAATCCTAAATATTCTTTCGGTAAATGTTCATCGGACATATAACAAACTCTTTCTTTCTAAGTATATTGCTTTTTTGCAATTTCATACGCCATTCGTCAATAACATTGCTTAAATTCGGTTTTTTCTCGCTGATTCTGTTGAGAGACATATTTTTGAACGCAGTTGTACGAATTAGGGGTGTTAATTTAGTTTTATTGTTCATTTATAATAATGGATAAAAGTAAATGATTCATTTACATTTATTTTCCAAAGTAACACTAAATTAACACCCCTAGTACGAATCTAAACACAAACATGAGTTATCGGCAAAAAATAAAATAACAATGGAAGAAAATTAACTTGCTTTGTAAAGTTCATCAAAATTTCTGTTAACCGTTATCCAGGTTTCATTATGCAGTAGATTACTACGAACTGGACTCCTTTATAAGCTACTCAACAAAGCATCGAACTATTTAAGCATATATACCGAACGAGCTAATATCCCGATCAGGCTATTTTGTATATTCCCATTGGAATTTAAAAAGTCGTGAACGCTAGACCCTTAAAACAAGACTAGAGCATCTTTGATTCCGACTCAGTTTTTCATCTGCTTTCTTATGCTATACATATATGTGTTTATTTTTGTGCAGTAACGTCACCATTTTTGCGGTAATGATTTTATGAAAAATCCCCATGGTAAAATTATACAATTTTGAAAGTTTTTCTTCATTTTTTGGCGGTACCCCTCGCTAAACATAGAAAATTTTCCAGGTTATCTGTATTTGTTTTAGACAAATTCTTTGTGCTCCACAGCATGAATTTTAGTTTTTCGAATAATATGAGAAAATGATATTTTTTGTCAAGTTTATTTCTTATAGCTTTCGGGGCTCTGTGGGAAAGCTTTCTGTAGCTATTATGTCAAAATACAAAAAAACGAAATCCAGCCTTATATAGTCTGATATTAATATATTTGAACTTGTTCTTTTAGTATTTCTTTATTTCTTCACTTTTTTCGGTGTTGCATTAGCATAAGCTAGCCTTTCTTTGCAACAGCCATGCTTCCAAAAATAAAAATTCAGCTCAGTTCAGAATGATATGTAGGTTTCATTATAAATACATCCGGACGAGAATCTCGACAAGTGTTTGTTCTCACACATGCAACATGTAGTGCCTGCTTTTCGGTCCCATACACTACTCTACTAGGATCACTTACGCTCTCGATAGCAGGCGTTTTGACGCTTCCTATACTTCACGATAAAGTAGGTATGCATCGATTTCGGTTTCGAACCGAAAAACCGACACCAAAAAAACGATGTTCGATTTAAACCGAACGTTCAAGAAACTTTCATAGATGGTCATAGATGACCAAGTGCAGACTTTATTCGGCGAGTGATTTTACTGTTAGAAGTATATTCGAAGGTTCAGGGGATACATAGTGAGTTGCGTAATTTTCTGATCTTATGATCTTATGACGTCTGTCTGAGTTTGTGACTTTCTGATTATGTGTACGTGAAGGTATCATCTAACTTATTGTTAAAGGCTCGTGCGCGTAGCACATGATCGATACATTACACTGTTAGATCAGAAGATCAGAAAGTCACAAACTCAGAAAGTCAGAAGATCAGAAAGTCATATGATTAGATTATGATACAATACATATATTTTACTATTCAATGGACGTTTTTCATTTTTCGGTTTTAATATGATTGGATAGAGGTACCAAAGAGCTAAAAAATGTTTTTACTCATAATATTCTTTTCTAGTTTTTCTATTAGACGTTTTCTTAAGGTATCTGATAAAAAAACATTCGATTAGTCAATTTGGAGTTTTTTAAAAATGTTTCATCGCTTTTATAAGCTAAAGAATTGGTCATATAGTTTTGGATAGAACGAGTGACGTTCTACAAAACGGCTAAGCTCATTTCTCAAAAACAGCTTTTCGCAAAAGTCATTTTCTGTCGTTTTCTCAGATAGTTCTTAGGTAAGCACAGCAATTATAATGAGTCTTACTTATCTTAGTCTTACATTACGGAGTGTTGAGCTCATTGAAATATTTTTATCATGTAGAATTATACTTTGATAAGCTTTAGTTTTTAAGATATGCTCATTTTACTGAAAAAACCGTATTGCTATCCGTTTTGGACTTCAATAGTTACCCTTGTATTTTACAAACTTTTGAACACTGATGCTTACAGACGTGTGTTTACCCCCGAATGATAGAAGACACTTGGAGACAACATTTTATGAGTAAAATAATTTAGAATACGTTTTGAAAAACCAGTTTTTCCATGGATCCTTGAAAACCTGATTGCAAAAGCTTAAACGACAATCCGTGCACTTTTTTGTACCAATAGATAATCCAAAATGCTCGAGATAGAGCCTTAAGAATACGACATAGAGTCTTAATTTATTTTTTCGCTTAAAAACAGCAAATCAAAACGAAGAGATGATCAAAGCTGGTTTTTGAATTTTCCTTTTGTTCGTTTGTCAGATTGACATCTTTAGCACAAATCATGTGAATCTTGAGCAGTTTTGTCAAATCGTATAAACAAATTATTGGGGTCTCAAATAAAGAATATCTGGAGATGTGTTTAAATATAAAGCAAAGCTATGCATAGATTTCTGATATTTTACAATGTGTTCACATAATCGTTGAGAATAGTAATAAAAAAAGTAGAAATGTGCGCGCTCCTTTTATGACCTACAAAATATTATTTTCGCTCTTTTACAGGTTGATTTCTATCTACACTAGAATATTTCTTTTACATTCAGTAAAAAGAAAAAATCTGTCAATACAAGGCACTTGGTATTTACCTTTTAAAGAGAAGATATTTAAATATAAAGATAATACATATGCACAACCATTATGTTAAAACATTGCGAAGTTGCAGAGATCTTTGCAGGTGCTTTGTATTTAAATACATTTGTATATGTTGTTTATTTAAGTTAATTTTTACCGCTATATATTAGTCAAGAGTAATCTTTACAACCACAAATGACGCTTCTATTTACGAAACAAAAATCTCTTGAAATCAATGCCGGCATGTTTAGCTTTACGGATATACGTTGTTTCAAGACTTTACTCTTTCGTATAAGCACATATAGTAAAAAGGTTGTGTCATTAAAGTCAAAGACATGCTCTAGCTAACTTGATCTGACTGACAGCCTCCAAATATTGCATCATGATTTCCGGCTAATGTTACCTCAACCACTTTTTTCGAAGACCTAGTCTTACATTCCACATACACTGCTTCAAAAAGGTAAACTGGGATATTACTTTTTAAAAAATCTATCACTAAAGAAAATAAAAATACTTCAGATGCTATAAAAATATTTTCACAAGAAGATCAAAATTGAAATACCATTTGTCTTCTTTAGTTAATTGTCAAACTAGTAGAAAGCCTTTTAGCTGTGCAATAGTTGAAGATAGTCTAAACAATAAGATGTTTGAGGCGTGAGGCTTTGTACTATTAAATCTTTCATTTTTATCTTCTCACCCTGTATGTATCTCTCCACGTGTAGTTTTATATATTAGTACTACTATTTTGATTTCTGTATCAGCTAACTTATCCGAAACTATTCACGTGGACATCCTAGAAACAACAAACAACACAGAACCTACAACCAATAACTGATCACACATGCATATCCGAACTCAAGTACAAAAAAATGTCGTTTAAGTTTTTGCAGACAGTTTTTAGATGACTCAACTCACATCTGTGAGTCTTCCGCGAACTATTCACTTCTGACACTTTTTCCAGAGCAAATATTTGTCTTTGCCGATAACACACATATTCAAGTATTTGCGGACCTAGATAATATTTTATTATATCAACGAATAGTTAAAATAATCGTAACAGTGGAAGATCAGATGTCTCATAAATCACATTTATTCATTCTCAGGTGTTAGTCACGCGCATAAAGTGAGTGGTAGATCGATATCATCTAGGTATCATAATACTTTTCTCACCTACCCAAACCTTAAAGGAGAACAAAAGCTAAAATAGTAAGCTATCTGAAACTGAATGCTCTAAAAATATGAAAAAACTTGTTAATCATAAAAGATAACTTAGCTTCGACGTAATGAGTAATCGCTGTTAAACTCTATAGGTTTTACTAAGGAAACTTTTCTATTACCACACTCATTAGATTGGTTTTCCTCAGCCTCACTCTCCACCTCATGCTTCACTTTGAGGACTACTCTGTCTCAAAGAATATGTTGAATGAAAAAAAGTTTGACAATTGCCCATTCATTCGTCACCATTTTCTGTTCTTTTTCGCAGAGAACAGAATTACATTCGTGCGTTGTAAAACAATGACGTCATTTGTTTTTCAGCTGTCAAACTGTCTTTAAAAGAAAGAGAAAGATGATATTGCATACAGTCATTTCACGGCAACATACTCATGTTCAAATCATTGTCGTTCGTTAATTTGTGTGTTCTACTCGCTATTTCTGTGAGTCAAGTAGTATTAGCCTATGTTTATCGCGATCAATGTCCAGCATCGCCTGATTTGCCATTGGTACTTATCATTACTGGAGGCTTTGGTCTTTTTTTGACCGGTGCCGCTCTGATCGTTCTCTGTTTTGATCCATCTAATGGTAAGGGTAAATGGAATTTATTGGCAACAAGTATCTTATT